AAAAAAAAAAAAAAAAACTTTATAACAGGTAATATTGGTTGAACATATAGGTTTTGAGTTTAGACTTAAATTCTTGGAGTGTGGTTATTGTCCAAAGAGCCAGGGGCAATGTGTTCCAAAGTTTGGGAGCCATAACAGAAAAAAATCTACCTCCCATAGATAATAGGCGAAATCTCGGAACACAACGAAGTTCATCTCCAGATGATCGAAGTGGACGAGAGGGAATCAGGTCAGGTCAGAGAGATAGGTAGGTGCAAGACCATGGAGTGACTTAAAGGTAAGCAGAAGAATTTTATAAATGATACGAGAGGACACAGGTAGCCAGTGGAGGTTGAATAGAATAGGAGTGATATGTGCAGACCGTGAGAGGGAATATATGGAGAAAGCAGGTCAGAGAGATAGGTAGGTGCAAGACCATGGAGTGACTTAAAGGTAAGCAGAAGAATTTTATAAATGATATGAGAGTACACAGGAGGTTGGAGGTTGATTAGAATAGGAGTGATATGTGCAGACCGTTTAGTGTAAGTTAGCATTCTCGCAGCAGAATTTTGAATATATTGTAATCGAGAGATGGAGCGTACTGGTAATCCCGGAAAAAAGAGAGTTACAGTAATCAAGGTGGGATGTGATTAAAGCATGTACTAGTAATTCAGCATCTTTTGGGCTGATGAAGGAACGGAGTTTGGCAATACGGCGAAGTTGAAAAAATTAAGCTTTTTGGAGAGCTTACTAATATAAGCATCTAGGTTTAGAGAAGAGTCAAGAATGATACCTAAGTTTTTAACTGTAGCAGATGGAATAATTGATGTGGCTTCGAGGTCAAATCTAGGGGCATTTGTTATGTTTTTTGTTACAGTTGGGGGCCCGACAAGTAAGATGTCTGTTTTAGTCAAATTCAAACTGAGAGAGTTGGAGCTAAGCCAGGTCTTTAACTCATTGACGCATGACAATAGAGATGCAGTCTGGTGAATAGAGTCAGGTCGGCAGGAAGTGTATATCTGAATATCATCGGCATAGCAGTGGTACTGTAAACCGTGGCGGCGAATAATTTGTCCGAGGGGCATAATATAAATAATAATGGCCCTAGGACTGAGCCCTGTGGCACACCCTGTTTAAGAGGGACAGAGGGAGATGTATGTAATCTGATTATGAGCATTTTAAAACGTCATATAATAATTTCTAATCAGGCACTCCTAAGTGTGGTTGGGTGTGATTTTACAGATAACTGGGAAACTAGGGCCTCTCGGGCTCCTGTAACCCCCTCTAATTACATCAAAACTTGGTCTCATGTCTGTGTCCTCTACTACTTGTCCTGTGGTGTGACGAACAGAAACTCTGTGTGGGCGTTGTGCCACTAGCGAACACTCATCAGTACCTGACAGCGCTAAGGCTTTGCGTATGGTTATTTGGAAATGTGATTTTGATGCCCTGAACAGTTTGTGCGTGTCAGGACTGATTAGAGTCCTGTTAGCAATCAGTGGGAAGCAGTGGCAAATGTGCAGATAGCATCAGGGAGGACGGGACGCCACATGCTGACATCCTTTATCAGCCAGCCGGCATGAAGGGTGTGAAAAGAGATTTTGGGGAGAAGGGCTGTCATGGAGCATTATGGTGTGTGTAAAGCTATGATAATGTACAGTACACTACTGTAATTTATTGTATACTTCAGTTAAAATCATATGGGAGAAAAATAAAATATTAAGTATTTTTTTGGTTTGGTTTGTTTTTTAATTGTGACATTCAATTTATGGCAATTAACCATATTTCCTCCCATTACCATAGTTTGTCCAGATGTATTAATTTTAATGATTGTTTTTTTTTGTTTTTGTAATTGTGAAATTTACTAGCAATTTCTAAGTGAAAATTATTTAAAAGAAAATCCTATTCCTATTTTTTCATTGTATTATAGTATAGTAGTATTTATGAATATTAAGCTTTTATTTTTGTATTTTTAATTTTACTTTAATATTTAGTCATTTTGTAATGTGTTTTTGTAAAAAAAATTTTTAACTATTTAGGTTTACTTTTTATTTCAGTTTTATGTGTGGCAAAATTTCTGCTTTTTTTCTTCCAATATTTGTGTTTTACTTTATTTCAATTAAAAATGTTTTTAACCGTTTTAGTTAACAATAATAACACTGCAATGGTCATTTCCATTACTGAATTACAATTAAAAAAGTAAAGCAATAAATCAAATGCTTCTAAATTACTAATTGCTACTTAATACAAAATACTAATACTATTTTGTAAATACTAAATAATTATATACATATTTAAAAAAGAATATTACTAAAATCCCAATTAATTTAAAGATTATGTTATGTTTTTTTTTTTTAATGGCCCCCAAAAATAAATTTTATTTATATATTCTTATATATTTCAAAAACAATATTTCTTTCTTTTTATTCTGGGGTAAATATAACATGTCCTAGACAGATTTCTTCAGATTCACCCAATTATTCATAATACATTCATGTTTGATACATTGTTTGCTCAAAACACAACACACACACAGATAAAAGAAGAGTCTTTTCGGGAGAAATTACAGTACGTTTGGGTCCACAGCCATTAACATTTTAAAGATTGGGATGAGCCAATATCCAGCAGAAACACTTCCCAGCATAAAATCACCATCTCATAATGTCAATCCATACATGCATACAGTACAGTATAGTCTCTCTGTTGACCCTGTATTCACAGTGGCAATGTTTCGTTTTTCTCCTCCTTCTCTGTACTATTACAAGCTTCTTTTTTTGTTCCCCTCCTCTTTTTTTTTCTTTGCACTGGCATAATTGATCTCCCCTCATCCGGCACGCCTGGGACGGAAGCCAAAACCCAGGTTTCTGCCCCTCTCTGCCTCTGTTCTGTCCTTTCTTCTGCCCTTGATTAAGCCGTCTTAAGGGTCGCGAGTATTGATTTCAGTTATGAGCATACATTATGATTACAATTATTACATTGCCGCTTATTTTGGAAGTACGACCACTTGTCTGACTGCACGTGATGGCTAGTTTTCATGCCCTCTATGCTATTAACTGCAATTAAAGGAGTAGTTCTACCAAAAATGAACATTTTGTCATTATTTACTCTATCCTAAACACATCTGGGTGAACTGTTCCTGTAAGTTTCCACAATATCAAGAGCAAACGGTGAATTGTAAGCATTGCAGAAGTATATATTCATTGCCTTGTTTGCGCTGAGATTGAGAACAGTCTGCAAACGTGAGTAGAATCAGTGCACTGAATCCAATAAATCAAAGACAAAACGGGGCAGAACCGGCCATGACATCCAACTGTGGGGCTTTGTTGTTTTGCCACAATATTGTGCTTTGAAATTCTCTCGATACCTCATTATTGTGGGATGCGACGCATGATGGTGCGACCATGATGAATATTCTGGGTTTAGGAATCAATCTAGACACATGGGACGCCGGCCTCAACTTGATCTGCTTTCATGCATTTCTTATGTAGCCATTGAGGTTTCAGACGCATTTCCATATTCCATGTCTGCTATTTGCGGCCGTGCCCTATTTGAGATTCCTCAATCTGCTTACAACTAGCCTGTCTTAGAGTCACATCAGTCGGCAATCTGCAGGAATACGTCTCAATAATGGGATTCTGGGTCTCTGTGGCATTTGTGATTCAGTTCCCTCTCCTGTTGCTAGTCGTTCATTGTGCTTGTCTCATGCATCATGCATTGTTGGGAAAAAAAACACGCTCCTCATCCCTGACCTCTCCTGCGTTCTTAAACATGGCATGATTTTTTTCCCTCTTCTTTATGCCATATATATACAGTTCCCCTTGTGTATTGCTTTTGTATGCTTTGTCGTTCCTTCGGAAGTTCCATATACTAACTCAAGGACTCTTATTTATTGCCTTATTTCCTGTTTTTGTGCTGCACACTTCTGATATGGGGCCTGCCATTGTTTGCTGTTTAAAGTCAACATGAAACAACCCATTTTGCTTCCATATCGTGACATATTTCCAAATGAAATAAAGAAATCCATGTTGGGGAAAGTTACTAATTGTGTTACTTGGTTAATTTTTATGGAAATTAATGCATTACATTACATGGGCTTGCTTATTTGTTTTTAAATAACAAAAAACAAAAGTAAAATTTTGGGCAATTGTAAGGCCCCTTTCACACCAAAAGTGAAATTAATAAGCCTCAGGCTAAAGGAAGTGCTTCTGCCTCTGCACTTAACTCCCAATTTCTCTCAACATGGGTAGGGGAAAGATGTCAGCGAATAAATGGGAAAACAAAGTAACTTGCGTTACTTATTTATAAAAGTAACTCAAATATTTCATTGTAGTACTTAGTACATAGTAATGCGTTACCTTAGTAGTTACTTTGGGGAAAAAAAGTCATTTGATTACGTAACTTCCATTACTTGTAATGTGTTACCCCCAACACTGGATAAAATTATAATAATAATTTTAAAAAAATAAAATAAAATTACGCAGTGCCTCAAATGAATCAGTGAGTCATTTTAGTGAATCAGTTCTTAGGGATAGTCAGTATGAATGAAGCCGTTTGCGGAAGTCAGGTGCTTGCTTTACATGAACAATCCAAATGAACTGATTCACAAAAATGAATCTTCCCAGGGCACTGATTAGAAATTGTTTAGTTGAATGAAGTGGTTTCTGAAGGTGTTTAGAGGATGGCGGCTGAAAAACATTTTGGTGAAAGATTATGATAAATCAATGCACTGATAAATCATTCACAGTAAGACCAGAAACATGTTAAAGTACACAGTGTCAGATTTCATTTCATGTTGACTTCCCATCTGTGATAATAGGTAGATGGTTTCATTTACTCTGTTCAGTATGTAAAGTCTTTGTGGTAATCCAGGTAATTTTTAAGGTAATCTTATTTAAGACAGTTCACATATCAAGACAATAGAGTAGTGTGTCCCGTGTGTCCCCAGGCCCCCTCAGCAGGCGGCAGCACCGGATCTGGAGGTGATCTCCCAGCAGGTGGAGGATGAAAGCCAGTGCATGGCTCCAGTGCAGCTGGTCAGCTTCACCTATAAGGACCTTCCTCTAGCTGCCCTGGACCTCTCGCTGGCCGGATCCCAGCTACTTTCCAATCTGGACGAAGAGGACAACCAAGAGGGGTAAGAAACTGCGAGTACACCAGTGATACTGCACAGAAACACGTACACACACGTTTACGTGGTTGCGTAATTGGGGACTTCCCACTGATTCCAGTGCTATGTAACTAACCCAAATCCAAAAAATAGAACTTCTTAGAAGTGAATATAGACATTTAGACTCTTCGTGAATAATTTTTTTCCTTTTGAACACAGTACGTCAAAATTTCATGTTGTGTTGCTTGCTGTTTCTTTGTATTTTTTTTAATTTACTAGCAATTTCTGAGTGAAAATTGTTTCTCACCTATTTTTTTTCAGTGCACCCATAAAGAATAAAATAATAATAATATATTTAATTAATAATAATGTATTTATTAACAAACATTATTTTTAAGTATTTTTTATTTTATTTTTTATTTATTTTATGTCCCCAAATGGAATTTTTTTTCAGTGCACCCATAAAGAATAAAGTAATAAAAATATATTCAATTAATATTAAAAATATATTTTTTTTAATGTAATGTCCCCAAATTGAGTTTATTAACTATTAAAACTATTATAAATATTAACGTATCACTATTAACTATTTTTAATAAGTTAATAACTATTTTATGCTAAGTATACACACAAGAACTAATCATTTGAAAAACATGATAATATTAAATGTAGAGGCATAATATAAAATTTTAGTCTGAAATGAAACATTTCCAATAGACCAAATTAGCAATTCTAAGTTTTGCACTACTCTAACATAACATTTTGCCAGTCTCTCTTTGTTAGCGCTCTTGTCACAGTGCCACTTTCAGTTATCATCGGATAAAGGATTCCGCCGAAACGTACGCCAAGCTGGGAGAGAAATAGTCAGATATCCAAAAAATCAGGAAGAGCAGCATGCTCTCACTTAGATCAACGATACTGACTTTTAACTGGAATTCTAGGAATTCGTTTAATGCTTGGCAGGGGTGAGGTAAAAATAAGTCCCAACTTGTCTTATAAACAATACTAGCAGTATCTAAAATAGCCGAGATCGCAATCTTTATTGCGTCTGACATAAAGTAGCACTTTAAAGGAGTTTGTTTATAAAATGTTGGCATACTCAAATGATTCGTAATGCAGAACTGTATAGTTCAGGTTTATTTACCTATTGTGTTCAAAATAAACCCTAAAAACACTGAGAAATATTTTTGGCTTAATATTTTAGATTTATTTTCTTAAGATTTCTAATGGAAACTCAAACCAAAATTATATCTTGAGAGACAAAAATATAATCTTTGAGTGTTACTGTACTATTAAACCATCCTGAGACAGACAGAAATCCATAAATTGTTTTGACAGAATAAGTTTTAGCTTTCAAAACCGTTACGCTTTTCAATAAATGGATGCATTTCTGTCATTTGTAGCATTTTTTTTTTACTAGCATGCCTTTGTGATCCATATCATCCTGTTGCATCATTGTTTAGATTTTTAGATCAACATTTTACTGCTTGTGTAACTCTAGTCTCACAGAGTCAGACTTTTGGTTATCAGCACAAAGTCTGGAGCAACATATGAAGTGACCAGTCAGTTCAGTCATTTTTTTTCAGACATAATAAGTGCAAAGACCAGTGTCGTAATGTGTCACTTTACTTTTCAAATCTCTCCTACAGCATGTCCCAAATGTTTTCAAATGCCGGATGTTTACCGCCGGAGGTTGGATTCTCCACTACTTCACACCATATTTTTAAATGCCAGCTTTCAGTGGGTGTATTTGTGTTTCTCGGTGGGTAGTGTGTAAATGTGGCTTTAAAAATCATCTGGCAGCCGCACTGCATGCTGGGAGTGTGGAGCACCCAGACCTCTATGGTGCGGACTGGGTTTTTGGCAGTCGACACTGCTGTCCCGTCTGGGTAGCGTGACTCACCATGGACGGCCACTGTGCGATGCTCTGCTACATGCAGGGAAAGTTGACAAACACCATAAGCTTAATTATGGCAGCCGACACACTGTCCACATGCCACGCCTGTGTGTGTGTGTGTGTGAGTGTGAGACAGATGGTCCGTGCAAACTCTCGAGTGTGTGATTGCGTGAGTGTGTTTCTGAGATGTCAGCACAGAGCATTCTGTCTCTCACGACTCGCGTTGTCAGGTGACACACTCAGGTGTGACACATAACTGTCCTTTACTGTGATAACAGCGCAGCTCAGTGACACTGTAAAAACATGAAGAGGTTTTTTTTCTATGCCTTTTTTAATACGACTTTTGAGGAGGGGAACATGCTGCGCTCACGTGGCCTGCCGCATGATTGTCTGCTCTAAATAAAACGTCATATTCTCTGAATAATTCGAATAAATTCATATTTAAGAATATTCTATTTATTATTTGATTATTTAAATCTCCTGTTTAAAAATAGGAAAATAGACGCGCTATAGTTGAAATGGTTTTCCGTCTTGCATTTATGATGGATGTCATTAAAAATGTGGAGATTAGCAGAAATAAGTTAATGCAACCTCTTATTTAAATAAGGTAAACATAAAGCTGATTGGATTATATTTTTATGGATATAATTGTGTATAATAGGCAGTAGTCAAAAAGGATTTCAACAGTTAATTTTTTTGTCGATTTCTTCTTGTAAACTCAGATAATTCGGCCGGGGATTTTTACGCGGGTGGTGGGAGAAAAACACAGACATTCTGGATTCAGACGGCAATAAAATCACAGACTAACCCCTGTAAATGCTGAAAATCGCTTTCGTCCCCATGAGAAACAATTACCGTATGAATCAGGCTTATGTCGCCGTGTCTCAATGATTGTTTGTGTATCACATCGCACAGCAGTTGCGCACTTTCAAGTTTAAGCATGGTAATAATTTTTTACAATCTAAATGTCAACTACAATCTAAGTTTTGCTAACATCATTTGTATTTTTTAAGTGTATTTGTATTATTTTATATTTATTATTTTAAATTTAAATTTGGTATCTAGAACATTTTTAAGCGATAAAAGCTATTACTTACAAGTACAATTTTCTTTCAGTTTGTCGCTCCATCGCATTGGTCCAAAATTAAATGTTATGTATGTATGTATGTTATGTAATCACATTGCACAGCAGTTTTGCGTATTCAGGTTTAAGCATAGTATAATTTTTTTGCAATCCAAATATGTAAACTACATTCTAAGTTGTTATTTTATTTGTTTTATTTTAAGTGTGGTATCTAGAACCATTTTAAGCGATAAAAGCTATTATTACAAAGTACAACTTTCTTTCGGTTTATTTTGGCCCATTACATTGGTCCAAAATGAAATATGCTCTGATTGTCTATGATTAAATCACATTGCACAGCAGTTTCACATTTTCAGGTTTAAACATAGTATACATTTTTCACAATCCAAATATGTAAACTACACACCAAGTTTTGTTTACATCAGTTGTTTTATTTTACATGTGGTATCTAGAACAATTGTAAGCAATAAAAACTATTATTTACAAGTAACATTTTCTTTTGGTTTATGCTGTCCCTTCACAATAATCCACAATGAAATATGTTCTAATTGTCTCTCATTAAATCACTACGCACAGCAGTTTCGCATTTTCTCAAAGTTTATTTTCAAAGTATATTTTTTTCAGATTTGGACTTTTTCGCAATCCAAAAATGTAAACTACTTTCTTTTTTCTTTTACGTTTTGTTAACGTCATTTGTTCCATGTTAGGTGTGCTATCATTTTTCAAGTGATAAAAAGCTATCACTTACAAGTACAATTTTCTTTTGGTTTATGTTGTCCCGTCGCATTAGTCCAAAATGCAATACTGTATGTTCTGACTTTCTATGATTGTCACATCATTGTTTTCTAAAAGATGAAGCTTTTTTATAAGCTTTCGTAATTCAAATATCTCAACTTCACGCCAACTTTTATTTATTTGTTTTATGTTAGGTGCGGTATTTAGAATGTTTTTAAGCAATAAAAGCTATTACAAGTACAATTTTCTTTCGGTTTATATGTTGCCCAATTGCATTAATCCACAATTAAACAGGTTTTGATTCTCTGTGATCGAATCACATCACACAGCAGTTTTGCTGTTTACTTGATGATCATCAAGTTTACACTTGGTACAAATTTTTTTCACAATCCAGATGTATAAACTACACACCAACGTTTACGTTGTTATGTTAACGTTTTGTTAACGTCATTTGTTTTATGTTAGGTGTGGTATCTAGAACATTTTTAAGCGGTCACTTACAAGTACAGTTGTCTTTCGGTTTATTTCTTATTAGTCCAAAATGAAATGTGTTTTGATTGACTGTGACTGTATTACATTGTACAGTAGTTTCACATTTGATCAAAATGTACATTAAAGGAGACATATTATGCCCCTTTTTACAATATGTAATATAAGTCTCTGGTGTCCCCAGAATGTGTCTGTGAAGTTTCAGCTCAAAATACTCCACAGATCATTTATTATATCATTTTGAAAATGCCTATTTTGAGTGGAAGCAGAAACACGCTGTTTTTCGGGCCTGTCTCTTTAAATGCAAATGAGCTGCTGCTCCCCGCCCCCTTTTCCAGAATAGAGCTGCGCCATTTCAGCTCGGACCTGCTAAAAAACATTTGTTTTGGTTCTGATTATCATGTTTATCGCGTTGAAATCATGTTTTAAACCATATGAGTTTAAACTTCTGATATACTGTTTTCTGAAGCACACGGACAGAAAGCGGCTGTCACAGCATGTGAGTACTAAACTAAGTGCTCAATCACACACAAGTTTACGGTAAAAACACATGAGTTACAAAAACAGTCGGTTATGTCTGTGAAGGTAAAAACAGCTGGGAAATAAATCGCATGTTTATTTTAGATCTGTGTGGCAGCAGCAATATACAGTAAATAAATCAATAAATCCACTGCTCTCTTGTCTCCTCTGAGGCTGGGACTGTAAATAGTGTCCTGTGCTCGTCTGTTTAGCCAAAGACAGAACAGTTAGAATGTTTTGCTCAAACTTTCGCCATGGCGTTACACCGTTGTCATCAAAATGACGGCGCCGTGGGTGGAAACT